TGTTATTGCTTACTCAAAGAGTAAACAAAAAATGGAAAAGCAATTAATGAAACATACAAGTCAATATCCATATAAACAATTTGCAGAAAACCTAGAAATAGTACGTTGTCATATAGAAGCTGAAACTCAAGCAACTACCCAACTAGCTAACAGAATTACCAAAAATAAGATCACAACCAGGTATTTACAGATAATGTGGTTTCAATGTCAAATTTATAACAAAAAAACAATCTATCGACTTACAATATAAGCAAGAAACATCAAATTTCTACTGAGATTACCGGTAAACGTGCTGGCTTTTTATCTAAAGGAAAAAGATAAGCTTTTGTCAGAGCTGGACGTTCGTACGGTGCATGTGCCTGCATTAATACCGGAAACAAAATGTTCACATTCATTCAATTTAGTCCACAAATTTAACTTAAAACAAATCAGAAACATTAGCTTCGAAGCCGGTGTAAAAATGACTAGGAATTGAATAATCATCATTGCACTATTCTAGTGAAACAGTAACGTTGACACTAAATATGTGGCATAAAAGGATGACATAGCAAGCCGTATATATAGTAATCAGACTATAAATGGAGGTAAATTAGAATATTGGCAAGCCTAACATGAACCCAAAGTTTTCAAATTTGGTTTGCGCTGTTTAAGCTGGTGGTATTATAATTGAGCTTGAGCTCAATTTATAATACCACCAAGCTTAAACAGCGCAAACCAATTTGAAAACTTTGGGTTCATGTTAGGCTTGCAATATTCTAGCTCAAATGAGCTTTTTTCTAGTTTGACTCAAGTAGCTTGATTTATTTATACACTGCATACAGTTTGATTTTTACACATACGAAACTCTAGCCTCAAAACGTGAATGAAAGCAGTTTCTTCCACTAGTATCCTATCACAGGTACATGAACCAAATTTGATCGATCAGCTCCCATTTAACTGAGTTTAATTTGAATATCAAGTCGCTAGGCTGGTTGGTCCGAGGACCAACACATTATCCGCTTTCAAATAATCAAAATTTAATCAACCAAACTTAAAAAATTTAAATAAAAATGAAAAAAAAGAAGCAAGAAAAAAAGGTAGAAGCTAAGAACCTCTTTGGAGACAATGCAAAGCTTTCCATTAGCCACCTCGTGCTCGACGAAAGTCTAGCTGCATATCCAGCTGCATTTCCCCTCCCACAATCACAAACCTGTTAAGTGAATACAACATTATAAATAATTCAAAATACCTTTTTTCCTTCTTTTTCCTCCAGAAAAAAAAATTGATTAAAGGAGATATCGTTAAAGCACCGACTCTCGATTGTCGTTGGCGAAGGAGGAGGAGGTAGAAGCGGCTACGAAGTTTCTTCTTTGGAAGCGTCTGGAAGGATTAAAAGAAGAACAAGAAGGTGAGGAGTGCAATTCCGGACAAAATAGAGAAAGTCCGTGCTTCAACGACGTCGGATTGGAGATAATGGCGGCCATTGGTAGTACCCTACGGACTGCTGCTGCGAAGGATTTCAAGGATGAAGAACAACAGATTCAGTGATCGGAATACTTACTATATAGTATAGTATAGATAAAAAGAGAGAGGAGAGAAGGTGGCTTTGAGTTGTACCTGAGGACATCACGGGGGATTAATCTAGAATGTAGTAGTATTTAATTACTGGTAATGACAACGTTAATTATTCAAGTGTTGGCTCTAGCAGGCGTTGAAGAGTCAAAGGCAATTGGCTACTTGGAAGAGACGATCAGGATTTGGCAGGTGAAGGTTTCGGCTTCCCACGGTTCGAGGGCAGTTGGGGAATGTCAAAACTCGAACCAGGTCTTACGACGTCGTCTCTAACCTGAATTGCTTCTTCTTCTTTTCTTTTTTTTTCGCACCGTCACGCAAGCCATTATCCCACAATTTTTGTGCCAAACTTCTGGTATTTCTTGTTATTAATTTTTTTTATATGCAGTACGCAACCGATAAATCCGTAAAGAATTGATAAAAATCAGATGGTTCAATTAATTTTCATTAATTTTTTATTTTTCAAAATAAATTTTTCAATTTTATTCAAACTTTTTAATGCTACAGTAAATAAAAAATGATTAAACTTTTAAACCATAATTTAACCTGTAGAACCGATCGAAATCAGACAGGGATGCTTTCTTGAACGCCTTACCTTGGCAGGTTAATTGTAAACAAGCACATGAGGTTTAAGCCATTTAAAAATAAATAAATTTACATTCAAATATATTAAATTGTGAATGGTGAATATGTGAATGGTGGACGGAGAGTAGTGTAAGTGGTGCTTTATTGGATTGATTACTTACTTGAAGGTTGACGGAGTGTCAATTATTACTTGATTAAGTTTTGGTAATGCATTGGAATTTGGCTCCTGAGAGCCCTCCGTATTCTTATACTTTGGAATGATTATTATTTATTAGATTATCGTTTCTTCTGAAAAATTTTTACCCTCGTTTACTTTGAGATTTGCTACTTGAAGTATTATGGTTCACTTTTATGAACTTTTGATGCTCATTAATTTGCTACATTGACATTCGTATTTTTAACAATGGTCAATTTGTTATTTGAAATCTCACTGGGTTTTTAACTCATTCCACGCCATTTGTTTTCCTTACAAGGGGATACGAGCGAGGCATGAGACGTATATAGGCTAGCGTAGTCTAGTTATTTTGCGTTTTGAATTTGTACTCGCGTCATATCTCGACTAAGGTGATTTGTACTCGAATTGTAAACACTTTGAAAACTTTTGGTGTGTAGAAGCTTTGTATCTGGATTTGTGCATCAATATATATTATAAGTTTGAATTGTGACATTATTTATTGTATATGGATGTATGCGTGAGATGCGAATGAGTGAGTTTTGGCGAGAGTTGAGCGAGCGCGACCCGCTGAACCCTTTGATACGCCTTAGGGGGAGATGAGGTCATCACAGATTGTATCAGATCTCTTATCGAGCTCGTGCCGGGAGAGGGTTCTCGGACTATGGGGATTAGCTTGTTAAGTGTGAAATCAATATCTATTGTTAGGGACCTTAGATATGTATGTTGGGTAGAAATCTCAAAAGTGGTTGATTTCCTCTTGAGCCTAGCGAGTGGTGAATTATCATATTTTTGAATTCCTGTACCCGAGTACCAAAGAGTGATACCTTTATGATAAATCGGCGTCCCAAGTAATATAAGGATAAGTTTAGATGGCGAAAGCCAAGACAAGGGGATGCGAATAGTCTTGACTTGGGATATATTGAAAATATGAGTGAGATTTGGGGACTCTGATTATTCACACGTACGTACTTGTTGTATTTCGTCAAGTTTGATTAAGTATAGTGCCCGAACAATTCCTAGGGTTAATTTCCGTGGGATGTGTGAATTGCTATGATGATATACAAAGAAAGTGTGTTATTTTCAATGTGTTTTATTAATTTTCATTTTATGATTTGAAAATGCTTTTATTGAATTTTATAACTATTTTATTTTGCTTATACTTATTTACGAATAACTATATGAATTTACGAATAAATGAATGAATTTCGAGAACGAAATTCTTTTAATGAGAGAAAATTGTGATGTCTCGACTTTTAGGATATTACGGTTTCTATATTTTATTTTTTTGTTTGAAGACATTGTTTTGTTTTAAAGATTAGAAACCCTAAATTCTAATCAAAAGAAAAAAAAAATCCTAGTTACTTGTGACTAACCGGTTTCTTAAATCTCTTATATTTTAATTGAAACCCTAATTGTAAACAATGGAATTGTAAAATTCTTCACATTTTTCTTAAAATTCCCTTTTATTTGGAATTATTACTTTCTAATAGCCTTACTCCCCAATCACACCACAATCAATAGATTTACTTCACTTACTTATCTTATCTACCAAATCTACCATTATTTATTAATTATGTTCAAAATTCTTATATAATTAAACAATCTAATATTCTCTATCTAATGATTTTCTATTTCTCTTTTTTCTCTTTTGAATGACTTTCACTTATTCTCCATACTCCTCATATAATACAATTCATCTTTATATTAATTTGATTTAAAAATAAATATTGTCATTTTCATACCTAACATTTTAGTTAATTAAATCATAGGTTCTATTTCTTTTTTGAATGAAAAGATATAAGAGCAAAATTGTCAAATTTAACTTATTAAGCATTCAGTTATAAATATTTATCAAATATAAATAGATTTAGTATTAAAATTCAGGCATTCATAAATTTTGGATTTCTGTGTTTAAAATTCAGCAAATTAATTGTTTCAGTATTCAGATTTTAGAATTCAGACTTCAGAATTCAGATTCAGTTTTATCAAACAGAACCTTAGTTAGGATTCTTGTGCTGAAAAAAATATATATAGTTCAGCAAATGGATTTTCATTTATCAAACGCTCAAAATATCTGAATATCTGAAAAAATTTAGATTCAGCACTTTTTATGTTATCAAACAGACCCTAATAGTTCAGCACATCCCATTTGGCCAAGGCTTCTGTACATTCTGTTTTATGAAGCATTTGTCCAAATGTCATGAACAAGTAACAGTGCGTAAAACAAGGATGCCTCCATTTTAGATCCACCAAGAAGGGGCAGTTAAAGCTCCCTAAAGAATTCAGTTAATGTTAAAATGAAACCCTTTTTTTATTCTTGGTTGAGTGAAAGAATACATGGTGGCACAAGATTCCAAATTGAATGACGACGACTCTACTCGGAGGGTGATTCATTTGGGCTAATTAGTGCCATAAAAATTGGATAAATTTATGTATGCATTGTGAGTGCAGATATTTTGTTTAGATTGTCAAGTCTGGATAATATCACAGATACAAAACACAAATTTCAGGATTGAACAAAGATTTGATTACATGCCATCTATTAATACCTGCTAGTACAAAATTTTTCTTGCATTAATAATAGTATCTAAAACAATTAATCGGATGATTCACTTCACCACCAAAGAACCAAAAAGTTGGAGGTGGCAGCAAGAGCATCAAGGCCCAGTTAGTGCTGAAGAGTCAAACATTGGGATCAATCAGTATGGTACTAGCACTTCAACCAGAATCAGCTAACCTTTTCAAGGAAAAAAACTAGTATCAAACCTTTTCATGATCAACGGGGAACCAACAAACATTTACATATTCAACTGGGAAGAACATTTGAATCTACTAAACACGCTCAAATCTCAATTGAAACGTGCCTGCCTACAGTCTCAACATGGAACTGGTGTGGACATTTTACCAACTTGATCAATAACATCAAGAACCTCAGCTCTGCTCCTCACAATCCGATGAAACACCTCTCTAACCTGCTGCTGAAGTGGCACCAATCCCTCCTCCATCTTAAGACAAATGTCCGCCATCTCGGCTACCTGCACCGCCACCTCCTCCACCTTTGCATCCTCCAACGGAAACTGAAAAGAATCAGCAAATTCAACCAGGCTCAGCGCAACCTTCTCCATCCTCTGCATCTCCTCCAACAATCCAGCAGTGCCTTTCTTCTCCTTTTTCTTCCATTCCTCTCCAATTTTCTCCTGAAGCCCAATCAACGGCTGAGCCCAGACCAATTGCCTGGGCACGGGCAAATGGGTGGCCAGCCCAGTCCTCTCCTGACAAGGGACCGCGGCCACCAGAGACCACATCACGAAAACCAAAACCGCACTCATAATGTATACCGGAAGCGCCAGCCCAGCTGCCTCCGCCCCACGTGGCGGCACCAGATTAGACGACATGGCTTGGATCTGTTTGGCAGAGGACCAAGACTTAGCCACGGACCAAGACAGCGACCGGAAAGTCCCGGCAGGTTTATCCTTGGGGTTATGACCGTAATTTGCAGCGGCGCCACCACCACCACGGCGACCAAAAGACCAAGCACGCTCCGTGGCTTTGTGACTGCTGCTGTTATTGCTTTCTTTGTCATCAAAGGCCATGGAAGTGAGGAGAGTCGAGAGAGCCCTTTTGGCGCGTCTGACCTGGCCTTCTCCAATGGGACGTTGCTCGAGGGCGGTGACGGCAATCTGAGCGAGGCTTTGCCAGTGGCGGAGGAGCTCGATGCCGTGAGTGACGGCGTTGCAGACGTCAAGGGCCTTTATGGCCCTGTCTAAAAGATCAGGGATGAGTTTGTCGAGAGGAGGCTTGCAGAATTGGGAAGGATCACGACCCATGATGAGAACGGCTTTGAACTCCGCCTCGCAACAGAGAAAAACGTCGAGGAGCTTGCGAAACCAGGAGATGGAGAGCATGGGTGGGGGCGGTGGTGGGCCGTGGTCAGCGGATGGAGAATCCACGGAAGTGGAGGATGGCTGGTCAGTGTTAGTATCATTGTTGTTGGCGTGGTTTTTGGGGTACTGGAGACAGGGGCAGGGGCATGCGCGGGAGCGGGGCAGGGGGTGGGGTGGGGACGGGGAGGAGGTCGGACAAACGATCAGCTACGTGTTTTTGGAAGAGTTCGAGGTCTTCGAGCTCGAGGTTGGGGTCGGCAACCTGGTTGCGGCGGATGCTGATGCGGTTCAAGAATGAACCCTGGTTGTCGGTGGCCGGCATCTTTTGAATGCTCGATGATGATGCTTACAGGGGCTGTTTTGCCTGTGGAGATTATATTTCAGGTTTTGAATTTTGATATAGGGAGAGAAAATGCAGGGAAATGAAGAAAGGGAAGGAGAAGGAGATGGAGGGGTTGGTTTTGGCAGTTAATATTCGGAGAGAGAGAGATAGCGGAGGGAAGAGAAGTGAAATGAATGGATGGAGAATTGCCTTCTTGTTTTTGTCGGGTATCAGACCATTTCTTCTTCTTCTTTGTCTCGACTTTGGACATTGACTGGGTACTTCTTTGTTTTCTTATTTTCTTTCTTTCTCCTTTTTTTTTTTTTTTGAATTTTCCGAAGTAAGGAAATCAACGAGCGTCCGACAGTCTTTGTCATTAATTCGTGAGTATTACAAATGATTTATCTCGTTTCTTATTTGTTGAATTTTAGTGCCACTTCTTGAAGTTAATTACATATAAATAATTTTTTTGACATTGCTTAATGTTCTATATATACAGCACCACTTGCGAGAAAAACAAAATTTGAAAATTTTGACAAAATGCCTTAACATTTCTTAAACATTATAGCAATGTGTTGGCTGTTGAAGTACATATTTTGACACAATAGGTGGTGTCTTCGAATTATATTATGGGTGTAAAAATTGTATTGATTGGTAAATAAGTGACTTATATTCTTTTTTTTCTTTAAAAATTGTCTTATAATCTATGACATATCATAATTAGTTGTGGTGATTGGGGCCGAAATTATTAAAATCACCCACAAAAAAAATGTATCTCTATTCTTTTCGAATTTTTAAAAAAAAAGAAACAGACAGAAATGTACGTGTGTCTATAGGTCTTATTCTATTGCAAACATGAAATCATCATTTAATTTATTTGAAAATTCGTTTCCTTTTCCATAAGTTATTAGTAACATCGATCACGACCCGCCTCTGAATTTTGCGCTTACAATAGCGAATTTCACTAATATCAAAGGTCACTAAATTTGCCGGGCAGCTAAATGACTTTCAAGTAACTATAAATCCTACCTAACAAAGACACTCAGGAAAATGGTAAAAATTAGCCGATGATATTTGCAAATTTCAAGCCCCCCCCCCCTCCCTCCCCCAGGGCTAGAGCTGGTAATAGTAGTCTAGTTAGGTGGGTACCACTGCAAAGGTTCGAATCCTGAATACTATGGTCGGTGATGTTGGGTAGTCTTTTTCGATCCACAGAGGATTAGTTGGATCGTACAGTAATCAGTCCATGGATCCAGATACCTCTGCGTATACCAAAAAAAAAAAATTTGCAAATTTCAACATTTCATCAGCACAGAAAGTCACAAAAGCTAAGGCGTTGAATGCGTTGTTATTGCCAGATGGACAGTGTCCGTGTAACGACGAATTCAATTGCTTAAAAAAGATATACACATGCACTAGCCGAAAAAAGATTCTAAAGCGAAAGCCAAACAGGAGACGTCAATTTCTTGTGGTCGGGGATGGAATGTCCATCTACTTTGACTGAGTGAATTGAAATGGCCGAGGCCTTCCAATTCCTGTAACATCTCCCGCACGATCCGGACTTGGGAGTTAGCAGTTGGACGACAGGTACTCGACGGTTAAAGCTGTGAACTTATTGTTGCACCATATCATATCACATGCTTAACCAACAACCCTTTGGGCTATTTTAAAATTTTTGTGGGGGTGGAAATTCAAGAATTTTAAACCTTATCTCCTATCAATGTACTATTATACATGATTTCTTTTAAATTTATATGTGTGCGTATTGCATCGTTGCACTCTGATTCGATGGTGATTCAATCTCCATCGATATCATATCATATACTTCAAACGTAGCACAAACTTCAAACTAACGCCCCGTTCCAATACCAAATTACCAATACTAATAAACCTTAATAGATGCTAGAGTCCTTTAAACTTAGATTGTAGCGATTTCAATTTGTTAAAACTATGGATTGGATGATGTTTTATAAATTTAAGGAACAGTCCTCTAAAAGGGATGATGCAATTTAATTTCGTTGATTAAAAAATGTAGACTGCTATTATTTTTTGAATAATCCAATCCACGTCATTAATTTTAAATTGAAGGGCTAGTTCCCTATGATTTTCCTAAACTTAAAATCAATATTCCAAAATTGTGAATTGGAAGTCAACAATTATTGTTGATGATAGCTACACAACTCTTTTTCTCGCTCAATCATAATACTGACAGATGGAATCGCTGCATCTTAAACGAGCACAAGGTTGATCCAGATTGTCTTATAGATATTAAGATAATTATGTTTTATCAAGAAAAAAAAAAAGATTAGAGATAATTGCATCAGCAGGTGAGGGGAATATTCATAGGTACAAGATCACCAATCTGGCAGACCACAGACAGAAGTGGCTTGAGGTACAGAATAAATTAATCAGCAAAGGGGAGATTTTGGGGAGAGGTGGGCTGTCTAAGCTGAATCCATAGACATGGAAAGCACTATAGAGCAGACCAAGTTACTCCCTAAATTATTCCTCCCAATGATGATGATCACTTGGTGGACCCTAATATTTCGCAACCGAATTTGACGGCGTCAATTTACCATGCATGTAATCTCTCAAGGAGTTAATCAAAATAGATTAACTTAATTGCCGGGAAATTTTCAAGTTAAAAAATTATACTCAACTAGTGACAGTGTTCAGTCAATTAATCACACACTGCTAATCACCAGTTCGTTCTCAGTTATCTTTACTTACTTTACATACATTAAATCGTTGTGTTACATCATTTTTTATATAAAAATTCTAAAAAATAAAAATTCAAACGGGTTCTAAATTACCTCTCTAGTCATTCATGTTTTCAAAACTGTTTACTTTTACGTCGATTAATGTCAATTACCAACTATCATCGGCAGTGGCCAACAACATGAGCGAAACATCAAAAGTCATTTGGCAAATTTGTGATAAGAGTTGCTGCAATTCAACATGAGTGAAACGTCAACTCAAAGTTTGTTTAAGGTAGAGATAACAGTCTAATACTCCTTTCAAGACTCTCTTGCTTCACTTTAGCCCTTCCCCTTTTTTTTTTGTCAAAGTCTTTCGTAAAATTTTTATGACTTTACAAACCTAAATCTCGAATAAGCCTAAAAAACCGGCAAGAAACTTATAAATCTACCCAAATTCCCTCCCAGCCCCGATGTGAGACAACCCTTTGGTTCCTTTGGTGTATAGAAATATAGAATAGATGATAAGTAGGTATAGAATATAATTTATCCTATGAGAAAAAAATAATAATACTCCGTTCAAGTTGGTTGCACTAGCCGACAAAGGAGACGAGTTAAAAGTCAAAGGCTTTTGAAGCTATTGACCTTGACCCAAACTACAAAGCTCGGGATCCCATGCGATCTCTTCTCTTCGTCATTCGACCTTCCTCCTGTTGTAGAATTCGTTTTTCTGATTTCTTTCCTGCGCTAAATCCTTCGGGGCGGTTTTGGATAACGGGGGTGAACTGTGAAGTGGGGGCCATGGGACCTTTGGAGATTGGCAGGATATGGTCAATGGTCAACGCTCCACTGCAGTGACAATCGTTCTGACCTTGTTTCTCTTTTTCCATTTTCTTTTCTTCTATTTCAGTCTTGACCTTGTCTCTCAGGACTCAACAGAGTCAAACTTGTGAAATTGGATCCAAATTCCAGGCCAATTTCAGGCCGTGGATTGGTTCCGGGAATAATTCGTTGTCTATTTACAAATTCTGAAACACTAGACGAAGTCTTTTTTGTTATCATCGGCTTAGCCTACAACATTTGCTGCACCAACAAAGCCCACTGGACCATGATTTCGTTTCTCTGCTAAAACAACCAAAACGGTCAAATGAGACTGCGCATTATCCCACCATTTGATAGATAGAGAAGAGAACAATGAAGAGTCCGTGCTGATGTGATTAACCATCCACGACTACTCGCAAGGGACAAAGATCTACAACTATTGTAACTACTTGTAATCAATTGGGTTTTCAAAAAAGGATAATATGATGGAATGAAGCCTCGTTTTTGAGTTTCAGCAATGCAGTTTTTTACGCTTCCGGCGAGAATTTCAACTTTTAACCCGTCGACGGAGAGAGTCTTAAACAATCTACACCGCATACTTCAGTAAACCAGTTTTGGTGGTTAATTTCATAGTCGAATGACAGAAGCGGCAATTTGATGGTTCGGAATCTAATTGGAGTATTTATTATCTTAATCGTTGTCCCAGGCCTGGATCATTATCATTAAGGCCCGTTTGAGCTTATGGTGGTTCATCAAGAAACACTTCAATTAGTGGAGTTGTTTATCAAAGTACTTATTAAGTGTTTAATCATATTGTTTGGGTCCATATTTGCACTGCGTCCTTTTTCAAATTGATAATACGTGAATTTGAATTTCTAAAACATATATTTATCTCTTCGTTTAGTTTCAAATTTATAATAGAATTGATAAAATTATTATTATTATTTTTTTGAAACATAAAAGTTACCGTAAAAGCACAAATTTTAACCTTATGCCAAAAATGCTTTAACGGCCAAAAGATTTGCTCGCAAATTCTAGGATTGATGCTCACTGATGCGATCGCCGAAGTGGAGATCCGAGCTGGGCTGTGGCCTGGGGAGCGAGCTGATAAGGCGTCCGACCTGTAGGCGAACGAGCTGCGGGGCTAATTCCCCCAAGAGCAACTCCGACGATCAAGTCAGAAAGGATCTGAAGTAATAGCAATAGAGTTTGGCAACACGAATGGCGTACCTTGTATCTTCCCCACGCGTTGTATTTATAGAGTCGTAGGTAGTAGTTTCCTAGTAGCACAGGGAGTCCTTATTGGGGAAGAACTCCTCCTAGGGCTTCATGATCCAGCTCCGACAGGTTCGGATTCCGCGGCCCACCAGGCCCATCCGCTTGGGAGGCGGCGCCCTCATGAACCGCCGAGCTGACCTGCAAGGCCGATCAGCTCCTCCTGTCCGAACTCATGGGCCGGACTAGTGCGTTCGTGGACCGGGCCGATGTGCACATGGGCCCTACTATACTAGCCCCCTTCTAGTCTAGAGTCATCGAGCATTCGCATGAATCTAGGAGGATTTTCAGGGCGTCGTGTCAGCTCGGCGTGGGACCCCGTCTGGGAGTGGTGCAAGCAACTGTCGCGTCGGTTCGTGTCTGTCACCTCAACCGTCACCTCGACCCGTTATGACGGTTAGGGACAGTTCCCAATGAATTGTTCAAATAAATGTGCGCCCCTTTGTCTTCCCGCCCTGAGGATCACCTATAAATAGGCTTCTCGGGAGTCATTTTCACTCCTCCTCCTTCACTTTATCA